CAGAGACGACGAACACAGTCTTGAACAATTTGTTGAACATCTTTATTTTAAAGGAGTGTTGAAAGTTTTGGGTTAAAAAATAACTAGAAAACAAGGAGTCTGAGATTAGCTTTCCGTCATTCCTAAAGAAAGAATCCACGTACCTGCACAAAAAGTGGGAACGAAAGGAATTGTTCTAAGAAAAGATAAATGAAGGTGGCTACCTGGCCAGGTGTCGAAGGAAACAAAAGAGAGAGCGAATGAAGATTATCATGCTGCTTTCGCCACCGATTTTATAGGGAAAAGACCCATCACGACAGGAGGCACCGTATACCAAAGTCTGGGCGATTAATTGCACTGCCTCGCATTTAGTAAACCATCACCTAGAGGAGTCGCCGCTCGCCCGTCCAATGTCGATGTCAGGATGCCTGAATAGCTGATGCCAAGCCTATTCTATTCTAGTGAATGGTCCTCAGGCAGCATGCTCGATGAAGAGAATCTAGAGTCGTAAAACTCGATGACTGGAGTGCGATACATGGCCAAAAGTCTTCGACTCCAGGCCGGCGACTCGGACGAGCTTCAGCTGTATACCTTCCTCCTCAGGCTTCGTCTTGAATGAGGCATCTTGGTGACATATCCGCCATATCCCAGAAATCGTCCATATGCACACTGAGCGCCGAGCGAGGTCAAAAATAGATTCTAAGTAACAGGGAGCGGTACGTGTTGGCAAAGTCGATAGACGGAAAGGGATCATTTTATGTCTTCGACAACGAGTAACCGAAGGTTGAACGTTGAGCGCCAGTGGAGAACTCGGAGGCGTCAGCTAAGGAGAGCAACTGTAAGTTGAAAAACGCTGATCGACTTCAACACCAGCGCGGCGTAAAAAGTGCCATGGCCACATCCGGACCATGGTTTCAGTCTTAGCTTTTCCTCTTGTTTCTTTGACATTCGCGCTGTCAGTGTCGAGGTCCACCACTGGACCGCCAGTGTTATTGATTGATAAATAACAGAAATCCCTGTCATTTTGTGGGTTCCTGAAGCCTCGTATTTTCCTAGAAACGTGAGCGACACCCAGGTAAGTTCCAATGGCCATCTTTTCATCATTGAGTAACAGTAAGGCGGAGTGGGGAGATAGTAACAATACTAGTTGGGTCACCTGGTGTGCAAGGCAAGTTCGACGAGGTGGAAAAACTGAGAGCGCCATCATGATCGAACAAGAAACGAGCGGCATCTGGCTTTGCCGAAGCCTTCCCTAAACTAATTTCGGCAACTTATATAGCATTTTCGGTTGTTTCTGACGTTCTCTGGAGTCTGGAGAGGCTTTATCCCTCCCCAACTGAGCGGTGGCTTTTATTAGTAAGGTTTCTCCTCCTTGCCCGACTGATTCTGCATTCTCATCGGATTTTTGTTGTAGTGGTCCTGCAGTTCCAGTCGGGACAAGACAGGCCATGATGTCCATCTGGGTAAGTAGGCTTGAACATCTGGGCGTCTATATTGCTCACTGTGACTTCTCAGCATGGCGTGGATGGAGCGACGAAGAGTTGTCCCGTGCGCCGATCGCACAATGGATGAGAGGTCTACTATACTTACTAGCTTAGTTGACTGTTATCAGGGACTCCTGGTATGCGAACTCATTCCATCTTCCCGAGAGCGTCTCTGATTATCGCTTGCTATTCAGGTAGCAGACTAGTGCCAGAATGCTGGTACTTGACGGACCTGTTTTAACTGCCAATGGGTGCTCCAGGAGCTGTATTACCACCGTTTACTATCAATCAAATCCGATGATATCGGATTTGGAACTCAAGCAATGTTTCCCTGATTCTGGAATTATGTTCAATGTCATTCTATTTGTTTACCTTGGGCGAGCACTAGTATCGACCCAAGGTCCTTGGACAGCCGAGGTATTTTATACTAAATCAATTACCCCAGGTCATTCTTTCCAACGACGAGGCCGTTGAATACTCGTCTATTTTATGTCGTGGAACAGCCGGAGCTCATTGTTGACTACTCCCAGCTAATGTCAATAAAGTTGGTTGTAGAGATGTAATGACAACTTGTAAGGTCTGCTTCCATGAAGTGCTACTTAGGTGATGCAGGGAAAGCAAACTCCAACCAGTGTAGACCTGGACTCGAAAGTTTCCTCGTCTTGCGCTGTCATAATGTATGCGGAATCTTCACAAAGATATCACATATGTCGGACTCAGAGCTAGACCAGCAAAAGCATCACAACCTAATGTCATCTCTGTCTGAATCGAATGCCCTAATGTTATACATCCATGAAAGCAGTCTCGGTAACGGACATTTATACTTGACCAGATTTCCCCTAATGATACAGGCGTCTTCGTGCTCCAACGGTTGCCCGAAGCATACGCATCCGAGAGTATGAACTCCCCCACGTCCGTGATTTATATCTCAAAAACCTGTACAACAGGCATGGATTTCCAGCAACATCCGCGATAAGTCAAACGGCAGAAAGGGTAAAAGTTATGAAAAAGTCTACGCATACCACACAATCACCACACCGCCTCGTGAAAAAAGTTACAGCAGGAGATCGTCAGCACCACCAGAGGACGACGAGGGAGGGGCTCCGTTGCCGAATGCTCCAAACGCAGGTTGAGGAACGCCGCCGACTGGCTTCTGCTGGCCTCCCCACAGACCTGCCAGAGCTTTCTCCTTCTCCAAATCTTTTATCGACTTGTTGGCACCCACACCCATGGTTGACTTGCCTGTCGCCGGACCACCAAGCGACAATGACCACAAGTCGTCGAAGTTGGCGCTCTTGGCAGCCGCAGCCGCAACAGGTTTGCCCGACGCAGCTGGCGTTGGCGAGAAGGAAGAGGTGGGTCTCATGGGTGCGCTTCCTCCGAAGAAATTTTGGGATGACTGTTGCTGTTGAGGAACCATGGGAGCAGAGAATTGGCCTGGAGACGATAGAGAAGGAGTTTGACGATGTCCTCCCATGCCCATGCCCATACCAGCGCCCATACCCATACCCATGCCGTAATTTATTGGTTGTTGTTGAGGCTGCGCGAGTTGTTGTTGAGGCTGCGCAAATCCGGTATAAGCGGGTGGCTTAGCTGGTCCTGCGTTGAGTATATCCATGAGATTAGCCTTCTTGGCCACTGCTGAGGCAGGGGCATGAGAGGCAGATGCCTGCACAGGCGCGGCTTGGAAGTCGGTGAAGTCGTCGTCTGAGAAAATTGATGAAAATTGAGCCTCTCGAAATCCAGTCATGATAACTGGATGAATACATACCGTCGAGACCGACGATGCCCGTGTTAGAAACGGCAGGAAGTGCTTTATTGACTGCAGCTGGAGCAGGAGCAGGAGCAGGCGCGCTGAAAGTGTCATCATCGAATCCACCCAATAGATCAACGACAGGTTCTGTGGCCGGAGCAGGTGGAGGAGGGGCAGTTGCCTTCCTCACAGGTGTCCGGATGGAATTCGAACGGACGGGGGAAGGTGCAACCTCATCATCTCCAGCGTTGTATTCTTCGTATGGGCGACGATTGTCGCTGAAGGAGGAGCTGCCTCCTCCGCGGCTACTGCTACTACCTGAGTAGTCTGTCTCATGAATAACAATTCAACGTTCAGCATAGAAAAATGCCCACCATTTCCGTAACTTGAATTGCCATATGACGAGCTCCCTCCTCCGAGACTGTCGCTGCCAAATCCACCATATCGACCTCCGCCGCCGGACTCGAAACCCATTGATCCCGTGAAGCCATCGTTTCCTACTCCAACATATTTATTCTTGTTGGCTTTCGCTTTACGGCGTTCTCCGCGGATTTTTTCTACATCCGAGAGCAGTTCGACGAGTTCGCGAGAGCGGTTGCGCACTGGTGGTGAGAAAAAGTTGATTCTCGTCTCGAGCGATATCAATTGTTAGATACATACCATTAACACCTTCATCTTTGCCTTTATCATCGATGTAATGGAAGTTTCGTAGCATTTTAAGAGTAGAGATATGTGACCGTGCGTCGTCGACCACGCGTTCTGATCCGTGCTTGATGAGATATTCTAAAAGCTGAAGAGCCTGTATATCACGTAAGTAACGACAAACACATTAGTTCATAAAGGCTTACATGCCTTATATATCTGTCGCCATTGTTTGGCTTCTTTCTCCATGAAACGGGAGTAGATACTGGGCATGATTTCGTTGAAATATTGGCTGAAATTGAAACAATTTAGAAGGTGTTCGAAGACATGAATGAGGCTCCTTACAAGTGGAATGTCCTAGAGTTCATGTAGACTGTGTTAGATTGAACACCAAGGAGATGTTGAACAACGCTGGTACATACCCTTGGGCGATCTCTTGCATCAGAGTTGAGCTTGCACCCCTGCATAGTGGGTCAGTCATCGCCTCTCATCACGGCGGGTTTCGCGTACCAAGGGTCATCATTGGTGGCCTCCCTAACTTTTGCCTCCATCTCACTGACATTCAGTACAACGTTCTTCGCCTGATGCCAACCTCGTCAGCATGCCAGCATTCCAATCCAAGGAGGCCAAAATGCACGGACCTGGTTGTACATACTTTTGATATCATAGAGCGTGATATTCTGCAGCGTTGTCGAGAGCGATTCGAGTTTCTCCATGGTGCGCAATTTGTTCAAGAAGGAGAATATAAGGCTTTTATCGAACAGCTAAGGATGAGTTTGATCAGGACAACGCCGTCACATCCTGGAGCCATCGTGTGACAGCTACTAACCGTGATGCCAAACGGCCCGGATACTCTCGGGCAAAAGCGCTGAGCGGGCGAGTTACCTGGATGCTGGAGATACCCCTCAGCTGAGGAAGAAATCGACTTGTTGTCGCGGAGTCAGGACCAATCAGGCACTGTTGTTTCTCTAGGCGCAACAAAGGGAACAATTGAACGTTCATTCAAGAGTCGCACAACGTTGAAGTAGTTGGATTGAGAGGTTCTGCACGTGGTTGGAACTTAGGTTCAGAACTATGTGTAACTATGTATGAGAAAAATCGCGACCATTCAACCTAAGGATTGTGCATTAAAAACAAAAGATTGGACACATTGGGAATTGAACCCAACACCTCTCGCAGATTAGAAGTACATGCTAAGCGAGCGTGATAACCAACTACACCATGTGCCCTTGATTTTTCCACGTGATCCTGACGTCATTTCCAGACTCGAATCCGACTCATAAATATCTCTGCGCCCGCCAAGCAACCGCTTCATTTTTCTTCTTACATCTTACATCGCGATAATCGAGTTCCCCCGACAAGCGATGGACGTATTCTCTACCAACAAGTCTCTTCTTAACCCGAAATTCGATGGTTATAAACTGGAATCAATACCTCAAGATCAAGCAGTGTCCCGGTACAAACTCTCGCGAAAGCCCACACAAGCCACGACGTCTGGAAGACTGCCGCTGTCATTCCAGGAGATGCATAGCCGAATAACTCACAATCATCTAACAGTCGATAACGACTCCGGAAACGCGATCTATGTCGACGAAGATTTCAACGTCTGCTTGATTGGAATCCCGATGTCTGGGGTAAGCTTCTCAATGGTTTTCATGTCTCGAGACTTTCTGTATACTCACCGGCCGAGATGTAAAGTAGGATGTACCAGGGCCCTCTTTCCGAGTCATATACGAAATGGCTACCCCGATGGACACATCGTCTGTCGTGAATATCCAACGCGAATATCCTTCGTCCGCGTTCCTCAGTTCGACGGTCGTGGCAGTAACAGACGGCAACGGTCTCTTGTATGTCCTGCCCATCAAGGAAGGCGACGTCTCAGAGCCCATCGGGACCTTCACGCTCCGTACCGGAGGAGCGCTTGATGCGCCGTTCAGGTTGCATCATATCCACAGACCCTCGCCCACCACAGCCGTCTTACTACTCTCGTCTCGATTCTACTCTCCCGACGGGAAGAAAGGAAAGAAAAATCCAACAGTTGAATTCGACTTATGGGCTGCAAAGATTGATCTTCTCTCTTTACGCTCCGGAAGTGAGCCTCGAGAACTTGACGTGCTATGGCATCGACGAGGACAGGATGTACCCATCTACACGACTTTTATCAATGAAGTTAACTCCTATTTCATTGTTGGTGGTTCAATTTTCTCTGAACCCAACGTTCCGACAATCAAAGCCTACGAGCCGACCCCCGACGAGCTGGCACCGATTCCGCGCGCAGGCGAGAACCTTGACATGTCTACCGACAGACTAGAAAAACCACAACCATACTCATGGACGCAAACCTCCGATTCTGTGACTGTTGCCTTTCCTCTTCCTTCCAATACTCCACAAGATAAAATCAAAGTCTTGTTCACCGTGCAAACGCTAACATTACACGTGGACGCCGAGCCTCTTGCAAGCGAGGAGTACCCGTCGGTCCCGCTACCACACTACTCTACAACGGCATTATGGGACAGCGTGAACACGACATCGTGCTTCTGGACATGGGATCGAGAGGCCGAGCACGCGTACGGATTGCTAACGCTGCACATGGAGAAGAAGAACGAGGGTACGCGGTGGATGCACGTATTCGCCGGCTCCGCCACTGACAAGGGAGATGTCGATGTGCCCGAGACGCTCGATCCCTCTGAGCTCTGGCACATTCGCGAGTCATTAGAGAAGTACACAGCGGCGCTGCGCACAGGCGAAGACGCATCTGGGCTGGGACTAGGCCACGGTGTACCTAGCCTTGTGGAAGGAGAGATTGATGAGGAAGCCGATGCGTCGGTAGGCAGGCGAGCTTGGGTAACCTGGGTAGAACCGGAAGGTGCGACCCCAGGATGGTGTCAGACCAACTCATGGGAGCAAGAGCCAGTAACAGTTCTGTCGACACCCATGCCAGGATCCGTATCCGAAGGCTTGCCTGTCCTCCAACTCATCCTGAAGCAAGATCTGGACGGGCCTGTCTTTTCGTTCGATCCTACGCACCCTTCTGCGTGGAAACACACATCAACATATTCCGCGCTTGCGTTCGTGCTCGCATCAAAGCAGGACACGCGCTTCACTTACCATCTTCCGACACGCGGGGTGCTTGCGTTCGAGGGCGGTAGTGCGCGCGATCGAGGCGCTAATGTGTACATCTACCGCCCGGTGGTGAACGCGAAGGACACTTGGTCGAAACAGTCCGTGCTGCAAGTGGATGACGGAAGTGGTGGTGCCTTATTGGGTGTTGGCTGTGTCAAGGTCCGGGGTGGTAAAGATGAAGAAGTCTTGGTCGTTTGCTTGACTGAGGGCGACCTGGTGCTGATCCGAGGGATTTAACCTTTAAAGCTTAAGGGTCGAGCATTGTGCACAAGGTGGTATTGGAGAGGAGGACATGACAATGTAAACTATGTAGGTGAAGTATAATAAAAGACTTGAGAACCTCGTCCTCTGTCATTTTCTTCACGGTCGGACCGGGACCGCGAGGACGAAGCGTACGTCGGATCCAACGCCGACTTTCTAGTAATGAAGAATATTCCTAATAAAGCATTTCCGTGCCATGGAGAGCACGCCCGAATGCCGGGCTACTTCTAATTACTGACGATCTCTTTTGACGTTTCGCGCCAAACTTTACTCGCCATATGAAGGCATCTGTGTTTGGGAAATCTAACCGCCAAGATAAGTAAAAACGTCTTTGGCAGTGCCGTATTCCAGCCTTATTTCTACTCGCTTTCTGTTCGACATTACAGCGGGCACGTCTAGCAACTTGGTTACTTGAAGTAGCTATAGTGGTCGACCTCAGTTGAAGTCACTTTGGTGCAGAAGTCTGTTGGCAGCAAGTTGGCAGTCGCTCTATCGCAAGGAGTCTTAGGTGGGTCCGACATTCATTTTTTTTAACCTTTTATGTCGATGAAAATATTTCCCCATATCTTAATAGGAACTCTGCGAGAGTCCGAGCTATACGAGCATGTCTGGTTCTTGAACGCGTGATAAAAATAGACCTTTGTTCTTGCGATACGTGACTAGTTGTCAACGCGCTCGTTCCAATCAACGCAAAGTTTCGAAAATCCGTCTGTCATGCCATCTTCAAGGGTTATTTCAACCATTATGGCCACAGCAATGCTGACAGCAGCCACACTTACGTCTTACGCGCTCTGGCAAGTTCATTCACCACATAGAAAAAACCAGCACCTTCGACAAAAGGTTCGGTTCAATTTCGTTATTCTATGGCCAGCTTTCTAGAAAAGTGTTCTATAACGCATAGCTTCCTGAAAACCTCGACACCTGGAGAATGCCTGGAGAATCTGAAGAAGCAGAGGAGCAGATTTGGATAGATTTGGAAGAAGTATTCCACAAGGCGGGATTTACGCTGTGGCCGCACGCTTTCGGCCCAGTTCTTAGGACTCCTGGTAATACTTATCCCTTGTCGAGTGGATATGGTTATGCCACACCCGCCCGAACGAATTATGATCAGACACAATCAGGAGCTGTGGGGCGGCTCCGTCGATTTGATTACATTGCTCGTGATGCCAGCTCTCCATTCTATTAGTTGCTGATGTTGCACCTAGAACCCCCTCCAGCGAGCCGCTCGAACACAGGATGGGCACGATGTCATTATTCGCGTAATCGTTGTTCAAACCGAAGGGCACGACCATCTCACAGTCCTCCGGAGACTCGCGACCGGAGAGAATAGCCTGTTGAGTAATAACCATACCCTCCCCATGTTTGCCGAATTCCAGTTCGAAGACATCATTTTCGGCGTCTTCCCCAAGGTGGGTGGCACGATATCGGAGGCATATGGTTTCTGGGCGAGGAACTCGGCGGGTGATATCGTCGAGATGCTTATGCAAATGTTGGAGGTAAGTTTCGGTTTCTCATCAGTACCTTGATATATTTCTCAACATCATGTGTAGGCTCTTGCATTTATTCACAGCTTAAACATTGCACATCGCGTGAGTAGTCAACTAGTTTATGTATAACTTCGAGAATCATTTTTCTCCGTGACGTTCCATAGGATGCATTCCGTGACAATTTCGTAATTCAATGGCACCCAGAGTCTTTGCTGACGATGGAGATCTCTCCATCCCGTCCTCGGGTCTATCTCATTGACTTCGAGGTTGCCATACAATTCCCGTCAGAGTGCCTCGCAGAGGAACGGGTTACGACAGGCTACCCTCTTGGTGGCTCTTTTACTGAACTCAAAACGTATGCTCGCCCTCATGCACCCGAGTGTGCTACTGGAAATCCCTACAGTCCATTCAAGCTAGATGTCTGGCAATTGGGTGTCAGTTTCTCAGATTTCAAGGTACAACATTTAGTCTAAATCTTTTCCCCAACTACGTATACTTGCTCACCATCTTTCCCCCTTTCAGAGCACGATCGCTGAAATTGACGACGTTCTCGTAAGTATGACTGTGGCTGATCCTACACACCGACTGGATGCAAAGGGAGCTCTAGATCAACTTAGAAAAGTGGTTCTTTCCATGCCGCCAGAATCTCTACTCTTTAAACCATGGATGGAGAAAGACTTTCTTGAAATTCTTGCCATTTAATAAATGGGTAGTGGCATACACTACTGCTCTGTTTCTAGATGGTTGGCTCGTTACAATATTTAGCTTCTGGTGATAATTTTCCGTAGAAATCGTGGAATCCAATAGCTCTCTGCTCCAGTCTAACGTTCAATGCCAACACGCGCGACACGTGCTGGGAAAGTCTGGCAAAAGCGTTACGTAACATATTTTAACTCTCGACGCACAGCCACGGCGATCTTAACTGACGGGCACCGCGACGCTCGATATGGCGGCCACGAACCCTTCCGCTATGCTAGCAGAATCTCTCTCAGAGTTCTCCAAGGCTGCTTACAAGGCCGTGAGTACGATCTGCGTGCATCCGGCCTCCTAATTCCCCTGTGACTGAACAATGTGTGTGATAGTTCTCAGAAGTCGAATCACAGTCGCGTCAAGAGGTGGCACACGCTATGGCAGATACTCGTGACGCAAAGATGGAGCGAGACAAGGCATTTAGGGAACTACATGCATGCCAGCTAGAATCGCAGTCATGGAAGCAGGAGGTAGCTGCGTCGAAGGCTGCTGTACGTCCCTCATTTCGCCTTGTTCTAAAATTGGGTCACTTATCTACTTTCTTGTATTCGCGATATCAGCTCTCGCAAGCAGAACTTACCGTAAGTTCTCGTCTATCATCTATTTTG